GAAATGGTTGACGTGGGAAGCTATAGAACGTCATGGCCTTCTAGACAAGGTCGGACGCTGGCGATACTGAGGAAAGGACACGAACTGAAATGGAACGAGGTACGCAAGGAGAAAAGTGGAAAGATGGGAATGGAGTGGAAAAGGGGAAGCTGGGGTTGACTAAGGTGAGATGGAGCTGGAGTTCAGGACGGGGAGCTAAGACTGTGGGGATGGCGAGGGAAGCAAGAAGCTGCAGTTGGTGAGGGAGCCAGGATGCTGGAGATGGTGAGAGAGAACTAAAGCCGAAGATGGGAAGGGAAGGACGACTCTGGGGATGGTCAGGGAGAAAGAGAGCTGAGAATGGTGAGAGAGGGGGAGACTACAGTTGTTGAGGGAGGTAAGAAGCTGCGTTTAATGAGGGAGATGGCAAGCGGAGGATGGGAAGGGAGGGACGACTCTGGGGACCTTCCGAGAGAAAGAGAGCTGCAGATAAAAAGGGAGGCAGCAAGCGGCGGTTTTTGAAGTAGAGGGGAGGCTGAGAATGGTGAGGGAGGGGGGAGCTGCGGTTGGTGAGGGAGGTAAGAAGCTGCGTTTTGTGAGGGCGATGGCAAGCTGAGGATGGGAAGGGAGGGACGACTCTGTGGATGTGAAGAGAGTTAGGAAGCTGGAGCTAGTGAAGTAGAGAGAGACAGAGAAAGAGACACAGACAGAGAAAGAGAGACAGACGGAGAGACAGAGAGACGGTGTAAGTGAGATATGGGAATGATGGGAGAGGAGGAGAGAGGAGGAGTTTGCAAGTGGGGACGCACGAGTGGATGTTGATGATCATTCGATTTGTTGCTACAGTAGTTTGAAGGACCCACTCTATTTGTACATTTTATACATCTCATTGTTTGTGCTGACCTTCTGCTTTAATGTAATTAGCCTAAAATATATATCTTAAGGTCTTCAATATATACTATCAATGTCTTTCACCTTTCACGTGGGCACCTCGCAGTGACCAATCATATGGCCTAACTTGATATCGGAAAGAAAGGCATGGTTATGTTGGGACGGGCTCTCAGTAAACATGACCAAGGTCTTGAGTCTCTCCTACGACTAGGGAAATAGATGCCGCCGCATCCCACTGCCATTCGGCCCTCTCCTACAGTACAAGGCGCAAGGCGAAGATCTCGTCCTATTCTCCGCCTTGTTGCCCGGCCTACAGTACTTGATGTCAAGTATCAGTACCAGCCCTCAACGTTAAATAATCATAAAAGTATTAAAAAATTTAGAAAACGGGGTTTAGTTGCTTTCAAAACGGGTTTCAAGTAGTTAAAACGCCATACCCTGGACAGGCTTCAAATGCGATCGCCAAGCAGATCCCGGATTCGAATTCCGCACCCAATTTTGAGGCAGGGCGCAAAAGCGCATGCGAATCAGGGCCTCCTTTAAGACAGCATGGACAGCCATGTTTGGATGTATATGTTTGCGATTTTCAAAATATTACATGTCCAATAATTTAGTGTATTGTGTCAGCGTGCCGTGATCCGTAAATTGGCTCAAGGGGTGCATCATACCGGGCTATCGATAGGGAAGCGAACGGTCTTTCTGAGCAGTGATGCAAGGAAGTGGCTGCAAAAAAGCCGCAAATCTCATTATCTTACAGTGCCTGGTTCGATATAGTGCCGTTTTCGGCCCTCTGACAGAGGGAGGCACTATATTGCGATCCCCGTGTACTGGCATTCAGGGACGTCAATAAAATGATTAAATTGAATATTAATGTATGCTAAATTGGATCAAGATTGAATTCAATCGCACTTATGCGGTAGGCGACAGCCAATGGTGTGCTCTCGTATGGCACGTTGGTAGCGACAGATTCCATTATATTAACTTTGTGTGCGCCATCACACTGTTAAGAAAAGTATTAAATGGACCAATCAGGTGCACGCTGACGTCCATACATGTCCAAACATGCCCGTCCATGCTGTCTTAAAGGAGGCCCTCATTTGAGAGAGAGTAATAATACAGCACAAATGCACGGCAGCTCGCTCCCTTATCATCTTTGTTCCCATCGCTACATCCACCATCTTTCAAAGAGACACAACAACCACTGTCTATCATGCCTCCCTCTGAACCTTCCGCCCAACGACGACTCTAGGCTTTGTGTAATGCGTCCGATGCCTTCGAGGCTGCCTTATTGCTCACATCAAGAAAAATTTCACAAAGCTTTACGTTATTGTTTTCGAGCGCCTGCCTTCAGATATATGCAGTATAATTACAAGAAAAGCAATGTTCACCGCCATGCGATCGCAGCGTTCAAACCTTGAAATATCCATTCAAAGAGTTATGTTCACCCACTAGGAGTGGTGTTTACGCGTTGTTAGGTGATCACCACGCCTTCCTAATTGATGGTGTACGGAAAAAGAGTGATGAGAACCCTGAGTGAGTCACTCAGTCGAAGTCAAAAGTCCCTCAAATGCCGTGATTGAGTGATTTTGAGTGATAAATATTGACATAAAGTGAAAATAGTGATCAAGTGTCACTCACCACGTGTCAAGCAGTCCTAAAAGTCCTTTTTCAAACTCATCTTGTCCCCGCGTATACTAAAATCCGTGTCTGTCTGTCTGTGTGTTTGTGTATGTGTGTTCGTGCGCTCCCGCAGGGGTTCTCATTGGCGCACGGGGGCGCTGCGGCGACAAGTGGCGGCCACGTGTGTGTGTCTGTATGTCCTTGCGCTCCCGCGTTGCCATTGGCGCTACCGTGACAAGTGGCGGCCACGGGCGGGGCCTGGCCGCCGGCCAGGCCGCCACGGGGACACGTGGCAGTGACAAGTGGCGACAAGTTTAACATTTTAAATTAAAATTACTGTGCGGACTGCGGGGCGGGGCCCCACTACAGTACAGGCTGACAAGTGGCGACAAGTTAAATTTTAAAATTAAAATAACTGTGCGGACTGCCGAGCGCGGCCGCGCTACAAGCGGCGACAAGTGTAACATTTTAAATTAAAATTACTGTGCGGACTGCGGGGCGGGGCCCCACTACAGTACAGGCTGACAAGTGGCGACAAGTTAAAATTTAAAATTAAAATAACTGTGCGGACTGCCGAGTGCGGCCGCGCTACAGTACACTACAAATTTTAGCCCGGATCCGTTTAAACCGCGCCACGCGGATCTACATTGTGGGCGGAACTGGGGCGGGCACTGCGAGCACGTGACGGCGGTGTGGTAGATGGACGCGTACGACAGGGGGGCGGACGCGTGAGACACGGAGCTGCCCGAAATACCGGAGGCTCGTGGCGACGTGAGCGGGGCGGTGGTGCGCGGGGGGCTGTGCGTGGGGGGGCCGGAATTCTTCAAGGCGGAGTTGCGTAGCGCGTGTTGCTCCGACTTTGGGGGGCGGATGTGGATGCGCGGCGACGAGGAAGTGCAGGCCGGGGCGGCGACGGGCGGCGATAGGGATGGTGAGCTGCAAGATGATGGTGGACGGAGGGCGGTTTTGGGTGTGCGGCGATGACGTGGAGGAGATGTGGGCTGGGGCAGCGATGGGGACGGTGGGGGAGGGTAGGTGAGGGGCGCCGAGACGGGGCGGCATGGATCGCCACACTCGCGCGTGCGCGTGGGGGAGCGGAGGGCGCAGGAGCGGACCGGGCCAGAGCTGGACGGCGTGGAGTACTACAAGGGTCTTTAACCGGGCGCGCGTGCCGGGGGGCGGGGGAGGCGGGACGGCGAGCGGGCTTCAACCGGGTGCGCGTGTTGGGGGGCGGGGGAGGCGCGACAGCGAGCGGGCGCTAACTGGGTTGCTCAGAGACGGTGACGGACGTGGTGTGCCGGGTAGCAGCGGAGGCAGGCGTTGACGCCGTGGTGGGCGAGTGCGGCGGGTGGGACGGGCGTGCGCGCGAGATCGCGGACGCGGTGTGCATGCAGCTCCACGCAAAGCGGTTCCAAGCGGCGGCGGAGACTCTGCTGGACCGGCGGGCCGGCGAAGCGCGCGTGGTGGGGAGCTGCGTGGAGCTTCTGCGCAACATGAGCGGGCAGCACGCGGCGAAGAGCGCCGTGCACGGCGAGATGTGGCGGGCGACGTGCGTGGTGGGTGGCAGTGGCGGGGCGGACGGACGCGGGCGTGGCAGAGACGTTCTGCGGGCTGGTGGGCGGGGTGTGCCTGCGGCGCGGGGACGTGGTGGACGGGTGCGCTTGGGAAGGGGCGGTCGAGGTAGTGGTGGGAGCGGTGGCGCGGAGGGCGGCGGCGCGGGCCGCGCGCATCACGGAGGTGCGAAGAACGGGGAAAGTGGTCGCTGCGAGCCCGGCAGGTGTCGCAGCCGGCGGTGCAGGAGGGCGCGCGCAGGCGGGTGGGTGCCAGGAGCCGCCGCCAGGTAGCAGTGTTAGGCGGAAGCGAGCGGCGGCGTGGAGGGCAGCGGCGCTGACCATGTTTGCGGGCTGCAGGGACCGAACCGCGGCCGGGGGGGAAGACGACACAGGCGGGCGGCGGCACTGAGGGCGGCGGCGCGGACCGGGCGCGACGCGCAGGGGCGAGTAACGTGTGGCAGGACGAGGGGGCAAGGGGCGACAAAGACCGGAGAGAAGACGGGAGAGCTAGCGCAGAGGGAGGGGGAGCAGCGGGGTGGGGAACGACAGCGTGTGCAGAACGAGGAGCGGAGGAGGAAGGGACCAGGCTTGGCGCGCGAAGCGCGCACGGAGCCCACTTGTTTAATACTAAAAATTGTCTCCGCAGCGCTGGACACTCTAGATCCTGCACTGTCACAAGTTCATCAGAAAGAAACGGTCCAAACAGTAGACTTGCGGCCGAATTACAGGCGATTTACTGTTAACCCTAAATATTGGGACATTTTTTTAGAGCATAGGGGCTATGAGGCGTACTGTAGAGCTTGACGTCAAGCTCTACGCCAACGAGTGAAAGGTATGCGGAGGGATGACGAGGCAGCGGGGCGGCGGCCAGCGATGTACGGTGTCATTGCTGGCAAACGAGAGGGAAGGCGTGTACCCGTGTACACGTGTGGACACGTGCAACCACTGCGATGAAGAATGGATGGAGCGGAGGGGAGGCGTTGCAAAGGCGGGCGGGTGGAGAGTGGCGGGGAGGAGGTTGGGGGTTTTGGTAGGCGGCGATGCAGCAGAGTTGCCGCAAGCAGTTGTTCAGCAACACAAACGAGCGCGTCGCCACGTGCGCCGCGGCCCCTCGGGGATGGCCACGCAGTGTACCAAGCAGCGTACAGCGGGGGTACGCAATTATCGGACAGGGCAGGTCATAAGTCTACGTTGAGAGTTTAAAGTTTAAACTGGTTTAAACTTTAAACCAGTTTAAGCTTCGTCTTACAGTAAACAGAAGTGGCCTTCCTGTTGGATATCGCTACTACATATACTGTGCACATCCCTCTTCACCTGTCTCCTGGCCAGGGGGCACTCCCTTTTACCACACTTCCTATTCCGCAGTTGTAACGTGCGCGAAGGAAGGAAGACGAGGAAAGTAGAATAACCTCTGCTGTGGGCCGCTGTGCCAAAGCGAATAGCTGGCCACGTGGGCACGCACACAGCTGATCACGTTGGCGGGCAACCGATGCATCTAGATAGACACTAGCAGCTCGACGATATCGGCGCTGTGATGAATACCAGCAACCTGTCTTCAAAGATGCGGAAGGGTTCGAGATCAGTGCCGCGCGCGTTGGGAGAGTGGTACGCTATTCACGTGCGAATGAGAGGCACGGCGATGTGGCATTAGTGCAGTAATTACCGTCGGCAGCCTGTGGCAGATGCAGAGGGAGTCGAAGCGCATGCCAAACCCACTTGCGGGGTGCTGGTGGGGATGGACGCTTGCTCATAGTGGACAAGGACTTAGATGGAGTTGTTCCTTCCGTTCTAGGTGGGCGGCAGAGGAGGCGACGGACAGAGACGGCAAGAGGACGTGGCTGTCGAGGTTAGAGAAGGGTGTGAATTATGTATTTGCGCTGCTTGTGCTCGCGTGAAGTCCTTGGTAAGCACACGTTGAAACGTATGCATGCTCAAAGTACTTGCGGGGCGCTAGTAGAATGGATGCTGGCTCACGGTGACAAGGGCCTACTTCTTCTGCGCTGCCGGAAACTCGGAGGAAGGCACTGGACACAGGTGTGCTGCTGTCGACGTGCTGCACACGTGCCTTCATGAAAGAGACCTTGGGCAACGCAGGGCGCAGACAGGCAGACAGAGGCGACGGGGTGCGAAGGAAGAGTGTGGGGTACCCTCGGAGGGCGTGCCAAAGTCAGCAGCCCTGTCCATATATATTTTTACGTTAGCGAGGGTGGAAATCATCGACAAGCAGTCGTGTTACTTACATGTATACTCCCGCGCGCCCCACCACCCTGCACGGAAAAGCGTAGGGCGGACATGGTGGAAAGCGGGCGGCGACTTGCCCGCCACACCTTACCACTTGTTGCATATATTATCCGCCTTCACAAATCCAGCGAGATGTACGACAACGCCACAGTGCAGTGGCTCTCGACCGTGAAATCAAGCCCGCCGAGCTTGCATCCCCAGCTCTCCAGCACGATTCGGTAGCACCTCTCGATCCGGAGCCTTTGCGCAACGCCGAGAAACCCGTACCAGACATTCCCAAACTCGACGGCGCTCGGGTCAAACTGCCTTCCAAACCCTGCGGCGGCCAGGGCCGGGCCGTCAACCTCGCGCGCCGCCTGCGCGGCCGCGTCGACCACGTCGTTCACAAACGCCAGGTTGCGGTGCACGTCGTGCCGCCGGCCGAGCTTCAGGTGGCCGCCCACGAACACGTCGAAGTCGAACTTGAGCACGTCGCGGTGCACCTGGATGTAGGCGCGAAGGTCGTCGGTGACGCCGAAGAGCACGAACGGCGACCAGGCAGGGAAAACGACGTCGACGAGCATGGCGACGCCGGGGAGGGCGCGGTGCGGCGGGATGTGGACGAGGAGGTCCGAGGCGGTGTGGCCGGCGAGCGGGCGCAGGTCGACGGACAGGGCCTTGCCGAAGGCGAGGGTTTTGCCGGCGTTGGAGATGCGGTGCGTGGGCGGCAGGGCGCGGCCACTTGTCGTAAGAGAGAGGGCATTGCTCGTGGCGCGCGTCGCCCAGATGCGCAGCGGGGCGTCCGGGAAGGCGGCGCGCACGTAGGCGGCGAAGCGCGGGGCGGCGCCGATGTGGTCGAAGTGCGAGTGGGAGTAGATCATGTCGACGCGCGAGGGGGCGCGGCCGGCGAGCACGTCCTCGGTGGCGGTGGTGAGGAGGGTCTGCGAGGCGTTGGGCAGGTTGGAGCCCGGGCTGTCCGGGAAGTCGACGAGGGCGAGGCGCGAGGCTCGGAAGAGGATGAGGGTGAGGTAGGCGCCGTCGTCGTAGACGTAGACGCCCGGGCGGACTTTGGTGAGGCTGTACGTGCCGGGGGCTAGCCCGGGGACGCGGAGACGCTCCGGCGTGGGCAGCGTCGCGCAGGGCTGGCCGGCATCCAGATTGGACAGGCAGAGAGGGAGGGCGCGGCGGCAGGTCGGGACGGATTGGCGGGAGAGGGCCGGGAGGGCCGTGGAGGCGTGCGCTAGCGGGAGCAGCAGCAGCAACAAGACGGTGAGGAGGGTGGACCGATGCATTGTGGAAAGGGGGGCCGGGAGGCGTGGGTAGAGGTGGGGGGGGGTGGGAAGGGGGGGACGGGGGGACGGGAAGGAGAATGGAAAGCGGGAGCGGACTCTCTCTCTCTCTCTTATGAATGTATAAGAACCGCGCTCACAAACGTGGATTCTTCCTTCTACGCGTGATGGGGCTGCGATGGTACCCTTGGTACTGTACAGATGTACAGTTTTTGGGAAAGTTGGGATCACTGGTGCAGCACAGTGATCTATCTACTTGACGGTATACAGTTGATGGAGGATATGTGTGTGAGGAAGACGGACGATAGATTGTGGCCGTTGATGGGCAGACAACGTCTTGAACCGTCCCTTACTGAGTCCCCTACTGATCTCAGTACGGTTTCGTGTTCCTACAGTAGGCTTGGTACAATGGACGGTAAAAGTAACGATGGCGTCGCTGCCTTTGTTTATTAGAATGGAACCTCAGTGTCCCTATTTGTAGCCTCAGTTGTTACCGCGCATCACTGCGGATGCGCATGTGTGCAGGCGCACTCACTTCGCTCTCTGAACCTCGGAGCTCACGTATCTCACGTATCTCACGTATCTCACGTATCTCACGTATCTCACTGCCGCCGTTATTACTGTGGCTTTCGCTTACAGAACTCGAATTCGACAGACGGAAGGTCGGCGGGGAGATATGAGATTGCTGTACCCTTGGTACAGTATTGGATGTTCCCTCAGCTTTCCCAGTTGGAGATATCGCACAGCGTGCTCTACAGCATATTGACTAGAAATGGCAGCATTGGGGCGGGGCAGCAATAGAGAGACAAATTCCGCAACGCAACATAGATACTGTACAGTGCTGGAATCTAAGCGATGTAAGGCACTGTAAGTCCGACGGCGCCGCGCACCCAGGGTGAGCTGGGGAGATCCAACCAAGTAGGGTGGTACAGTACCGAGAAGGGTACATAGACGGACACTAACGATTCAGCACAATAAAGAGGGGGGACAGAGGTCCATCTTTCCTTTCATACAGTTGTGGAAATGCAAATGGATTAGATCATTAAAATCGGATCTAGTTAGCGCATGGATACCAATACGTCACTACACCTTCAGCAATTATGCAACGTCATGGTATCACGGCGAGATGCAGCAAATCGGACAAAGGAAGTGGAGGGAACATTGCGAGCGGAACGGACGCGACGCAAGAAACGAAGGAGCGCGGTAAATATGAATGCTGAAATACTGAAGAGTATTCAGCAATGGCGGTAAGCAAGGAGCGTAAGTGTACAAGCGAACAAAGCTCATCAGGCGGGATGAGGTGACCTGAATGCGAAAATGCATTGCGCAGCACAGCGATCAGATACGAACCAAAGCACCCAGCGACGTGCAACGCAGCATGGACGAAGAGCACCGCAGCGAGACGACGTAATGCAAAAGCGACAGAGCGCAATGCAGAGTGCAGGCGATAGGGGCGATGCGATACGTACTTAAGCGCGATAGATGCAGCGATAACAAAAGAAGAGAAGCAGCGAAGAGCCAGCACTTGTGCTGAACAAACGTGCCACCGCTTTCCCTCCGTAGAAACCATCCTTGAGCTCCCCAAACCACTACTGTGTCCCGAATCAGCTCCCTATGTCCGGGGAATCTTTAACTGTAGAGTACTCACAGAATAGGCATTAGGGTACTACTGTACCCTCATGCCTACTCTATCCCGCTTGTGGTCAAAGCCTACACGGGTACCCTTCCCCAAAAGGGTAATTTGGAGAAAAAAAGGGTAATTTGGAGAGCGTTGATTTTTTTCGAAACATTTAGTATGTTGAACCGCACAGTTGTGAACGGGAAAGGAAAACAGGCCCAATCACGCCCAGTGCTGCAACATGGAACCCCCGCTCTATATTTGACACATGGGAAGCCCAAGAACGCCAAGTTGCTGCTGCTGCTGCCAAAGAGGCAAAAGAGGAGCTTAAGAAGCATAAAAAGGCGCAAAGAGAACATATGAGGCTTCAAAAAGAAGAAGCCAAAAGGATGAAAAAGATACGAAAATTGGCGATTTCCAATGCACAAGCTGCTTTCCCCCAAGGTCTTGAGTGTTCTGACCGGTCCAAGCGATGCAGATCAGCACCGGAGACCGTAGTGGCATCTTTGGGAGAACGTTCCATGGAAGAGAACGATGTCGTGGAGGCGCTGGTCACGCTTCATGCGCATGACATACCCTTGGGTAGACAATCCAAATTGCCCTCTCCTTCCTCAAAAGGAGGCCACTTGTGATGAATAGACAAATGTGAATATCTCAAATAATGAATATCTCAAATAATATCCGTTTTCTGACCGATCTGAAGCTACCAACGAACTTTTGACCCAGTTTTGTATGTCATGGGGCCGAGTGTTTTGATATCCTACTAATAAATCTGTTTGTTTTTGCCATATTTCAAAGTTTACTCCAAATTACCCTTTTGGGGAAGGGTAGTAGGCTTTGACCACAAGCGGGACTGTTCACAGTTCAACTTTTAAACTTGGTCCCACTGCCCTGCCCCACTGGTCTCGTGGTGAAGGCATTCTCTCGGAATGGAATCCGCACAAAAGTGAACCCTTTAGTGGAATATGGTACACAGACATACGCATGTCATGCGAAATGGGGCACAGCCTTGCTTGTTGCGGGCCCCGGTTGTACAACACACTCGCGAAAGTGAGACTGTTCAAACGGATTTCCGA